ACACCCACACCCACATCCACACCCACCCACACCCCAAAACGGATACTATAGCAACGTCATGCCATATGTTTTCTATCATTTAAAACCATCGCCAGTCATCTTGCACGCAACGCATCAAAGAAGTTCTTCGTCGAAAAAGTGCTTTTTTTTGCCCTTAAATTCGACATATCTCGGAACTGACAAGGAGAAATGGGTTGAAAATTTGGATATTTACTAGTGACAGTATAGTTAATCTATCCTGAAAGTTTTGTGAAAGTCCCATGTACTAGGACCAAGATTGATGGGGATCTCAAGTCTCTAGCAGTTCAACTTTTGCTAGCCTTCCAAAACTGTGATGCTCAATGATCTTTCAAAATTCTTTTTATGAATAATATTGTCTTGGTAAGAGCTATAAATGCTGAAATTCTCAGCTTCCTCTGATCATTTTTTCTAAACAATACCTGGTATCTAATGGATTAGCGTTGCAGTGTCCCAGCACTTTTGGCCACTAGACTAACATTTAAACTTATATAACTTTCTATAGAAGCTTCGAATTTATAATGTTATAATAGTATATGAAAGGCCTCTATTAGATCTATCAAAGCACAGCATCACTGGCTCATGATAGCTTCGCAACCAGAAGTTATAAAGAGGAAAAATTTCTCTCAGAACTTTCGTCCACCACTGTGTTTTTGTGAAATATGATCCAGAAGGAGTGTTGAAGTATAGTAGTAGAAATTTGGATGTCTCTCTTCCACAGACTTCACAGGCACCGTAGTATTGCCACTCCCTCTTCACGGATCGTGACAAACATAGTCGCGAAACCAAAGTTTACTGCAGGATTATTGTGAACCAGGATTGAATTTAAGATACCTGTCTTTTGCCCTCCTTTCACTCACACTGTTACAGTCAATGTTCCTAATAAGAACAGATATTTCGAAGGTGTGACGAATTTCAATTTTTACTAAGCAATTTCATATAAAAATATAGATTTTTTTAATATTTTTGAGTAGAAAATGTTTGCTGCATCGAATAATGCAAAAATCATTCAATTATCTCAAAATGAAAGAGCAATCAGCGGTAGTTTGTGAATAATTGAATATGTTCTTATTAGGAGAGCTGTTCCTAATGAGAACAGTAAGCCAAAAAATGTTTCTAATAAGAACAGAAAACGCAAAACAAGCAAAAAATTTAAAAAAATCACGAAATCAGTTGACTTTGCTACCCACAGTTCAAAATTTCAATATACTTCTGGAACAAAAAATATTCCTTATCAATCCAGACATTATAATCCAAAGTTTCAAATTTTTCCAATTTATAGTAACTGAGTTATTAAATTTTTAAAATTTCGTCTTTTGTTCTTATTGGGAACAATGTTCTCAATAAGAACAATCAGCGAAAAAATGTTCATAATAAGAAAAGCCTATGTAAAATACATACAAAATCAATTTTTATTAGTATATCATGTGATAGCCTTTCTCGACCCTGTCAGAAATCCTCCCTTAAAATAAGACAGTTGTGCTCTAAGGGTAATAATTGGAGACAAGACTAATCGTATCAAAGGTCAAAAGTTGTTTATGGTGTTAATTTGTATGAAATGATTAATATAGCTCTACATCGCTCAAAGTCGTACCATTATGTTCACTATTAACTAACACTTTTCCATTTATTAATATGAATGCTCTGTGTTCCGCTTGTGAATCATTCATACTATCAGTAGTTGTCCAAATTCCTCCTGATGGATCATACAACTCAGCACTATTTAGAATAAAACTATTAAATCCACCAGTAACTAACACTTTTCCATTTGTTAATAAGGATGCTGTATGCGCCCATCGTGCATTATTCATGCTATCAGTAGTTGTCCAAGTTTCTGTTGATAGATCATACAACTCAGCACTATTTACGGCAGCACCATTATTATATCCACCAGTAACTAACACTTTTCCATTTGTTAATACGGATGCTGTGTGGTCCGGTCGTGAATCATTCATACTATCAGTAGTTGTCCAAGTTTCTGTTGATGGATCATACAACTCAGCACTATTTGTGGCATCACTATCATTATATGAACCGGTAACTAACACTTTTCCATTTGTTAATAAGGATGCTGCGTGCACCCATCGTGCATTATTCATGCTACCAGTAGTTTTCCAAGTTCCTGTTGGTGGATCATACAACTCAGCACTATTTACAACAGCACCATTATTATATCCGCCAGTAACTAACACTTTTCCATTTGTTAATACGGATGCTGTGTGTTCCGCTCGTGAATAATTCATACTATTAGTAGTTGTCCAAGTTCCTGTTGATGGATCATACAACTCAGCACTATGTGGGGTATCACTACCATTATATCCACCAGTAACTAACACTTTTCCATTTGTTAATAAGGATGCTGTGTGCGTCACTCGTGCATTATTCATGCTACCAGTAGTTGTCCAAGTTCCTGTTGATGGATCGTACAACTCAGCACTATTTAGAATAGAACCATTAGATCCACCAGTAACTAACACTTTTCCATTTGTTAATAAGGATGCTGTATGTGTCCATCGTGCATTAGTCATGCTACCAGTAGTTGTCCAAGTTTCTGTTGATAGATCATACAACTCAGCACTATTTACGGCAGCACCATTATTATATCCACCAATAACTAACACTTTTCCATTTGTTAATACGGATGCTGTGTGTTCCGCTCGTGAATCACTCATACTATCAGTAGTTGTCCAAGTTCCTGTTGATGGATCATACAACTCAGCACTATGTGGGGTATCACGACCATTATATCCACCAGTAGCTAACACTTTTCCATTTAATAAGGATGCTGTATGCGCCCATCGTGCGTTATTCATGCTACCAGTATTAGACCACCCTAGACGAAATCATTTGAGTGTATTCTTTCTGGAAAGAATGTGTATTGTGGAACTCTTAAGATCTTGAGATCACGTGCGAAAATTTTCGGATCTTGTAAAATGAAAACCGTTCCTTACTTTGAATACGAATTTTTTTGAATTTTTGTGGACCGCAAAAAGCCTTAGAATTGTTGTAAGACATCTTTGATGATACTATACGAGAGTAGGTTTCACATTTTTGATAAAGAATCGTATGCGTGCATAACAGATAAAGTAGGTTTGTATTTTCTACCTGTCGCAACATTATTTACGAGAATTAACGGACTTTGGATTTTATGCAGCGTTTATGATTATAATGGCCCTAACGAAACCTCCCAGATGAAGTACAGTGGGAAACGATCCGATCCGTGAAATTTCAAACGAATTCCTGGGACCAAAACCGGTACCTGTCTCCATTTTCGACTTCTTTCCTACCAATTCCTGCAGTCAGAAACGATATCCATTTACGGTTCTTCTTTTCGACAGCATGTCAGACTAAGAGGTTCCCTGATTCATCATGACCAAAGGATATGAACCGTATCCAATCGTTTCCGAAGCCCAGACCCTGCCTTTTTGTGTCCGGATATGGCGCAATCATATGCCATTTCCTGTCGCATGATGTTGTTAGGCTCTAATTAAAGATTCTAATATTATTCTATCAACTACAGCCTAAAAAAAAGTTTTCCCAGAAACTGAAACCCCTTCAGAAACCCTTTCGGAAATTCATAAACGTATCCGAAAAGGTTTCGCGAGAAAACTAGCTTGGTTTCCGAACATATCTCGGGAACCCTTCAGGGTTACAGAATTTTTAGAAACCTTTCAGTTCTCGGAAAAAAATTGGGAAAAGCAGGAAGTATTATGGTGTGAGCGTGGGTGTGGGTGTGGGGTATTGACGTGGGTGTGGGTACAAGTGTGTAATCATACCTACCCCATCCTACTCATCAGCTACACCAACACCCACAACCAACCACACCCACATGCCACAGACCCACACCCGATGGTAGTATATATCCACAAAATATCATGAGTAGAAACTTTATTGTTGAATAATGGCGAAATGTACAATGCATGGGTGCTGCAATGTTCATCTTCATTTTGTTTGATGGTGCCTCTATTATAGATTGAATATCTCAACAAGGGAATGATTTTAGAAGCTGAAATTTCTAGCGTTTTCATATCTCACTTAGGGCTACATTTGGGCAAAGTTTCATTGAAATCTGTGAGATCGATTGAGCAGGGCCGGTAGTCCCTATCATGCAATGGCTCTTAGGGAGCCCGTTTTTATGAGGAAAATTCTCGGAGTCCGATCTTGCTGAAAGTTTTACCATAAATGTCGCTCGTTCCCTAGAGTTTATTCTGAAATTTTTAGATTTTTTTCTCATATCGTTAGAGAGATATTCACTAATTACTTCTTAATTAATTAATTAATTAGTTAATTAATATTAAATAAGTGGCATTTGAAAGCGCCAACATTTTTATATATGTCTATGCTAAAAGAATATATTCAAAAGGAACATCCTTGTAAAAAATCAAAGTCAATTGAAAGCGGGATAAAGCCTGTTCTGTCTGATTTCGCCCATATACACTTGACTTTCTCAGTTGATATGCTTGTATTTGAACTTTTTTTTTTCATATATATAATTCATTCAAGCTAAGGGAAAAGTCCGATGGAAGAAACAAAGATCCGCTTCGTGCACCTCTGTATTTTGCTTTATTGTTACTATTGATATGCTCGATATTTGACAATATATGTAAAGACCCACGTGTTCTCCGAGGACTTTAGATAAAGTGGACATTTTTCGGACTTTTGACGCTGCTGAGTTTCGATAGTAAAAAACTCAAATTATCGAAAAGCGTTGGAAAAAGAGCATGCAAAAATACTAGCTGCGTGCAATTTTTGTTTTTCGAGTCTCACGACTCATATGTAGGATAGAATACAAGATTGAGTACACAGTTTTGTATAGCAAACTTTGCTTATTTTCTGGCATATTGCAAGGCATAATTCATTAAATAGCTTTAAGGAAAATGTTCAATGATTTCACAGAAGTGAAGAAAACTTCATTTTCTAGAGCCTCTATTGAGACGTGTTCAGTATTTCGTTCATAACTATACAAGAACAACATAGAAAATGCTAATAATTTGAACTGGTCAGTTTTCAATCATGCTCTCTTATTTCCAGTGATCAAAGTCATATGTCAAAGAATTTCATAGTAGCAGCACGCTTGATTCTCTCGTGAATCCTCTCATAATTGACACGGAGTAAAAACTCACTATGTGAATGAGTAGTGGATAATAATTGATTCAATTGTGTAAGAGACGATTGCAGTATGAACAAGAAGATAATAGTAATCGACAATAATAGCATGTTTGTTCTAGGCACTACTATAGTCGACCTGAAAGAGATGGAAGAGAGAATCAATAATGATTGAATGAAATCAAAGAAGAAAAGAGATAGCAGCAGGAGAATAATTTACAGCAGTGTCACATATACAGAATATCGGGGATGTTGGAGAAGCTCATGGAGATGCGGTATCTCCTGATAAAATTTTTTTTCGAATTTCTAGCCTAGGACCTACCCGGGAGATGCATATCCATCAGCAGATCCTACGTCTGCATCTTCTGCTATCTATCGCTAAAAATTTGTTTTGAGGGTAAGGGCGGAAATACACACATACATCCACCCACACACACACGGTCTCTTCCTTGAGGCTGGGGGTGGGGGAAAAAACATAGAATCACAGGGTCGTTCGCCTATCGGTGACGGAAGCAGAAAAAAAGTTTTATCAGAAGATGCCGGGAAATGCCGAGGCAGGGGATGCGGCATCTCTTGATGGAAATGCATCTCCCGGGTAGGTCCTAGGCTAAAAATCCGAAAAAAAATTTGATCAGGAGATGCCGCATCTCCCTGAGCGTCATCAGCATCCCCGATATTCCAGATATGTAACACCTCACAATAATTCAATACTATGTTGTAATGTCGTTAGTATATGTAACATCTCCGTGCAGATCTCTAAGATCCTTGATTTTCTGGATCTGTGACACCACTCATAATTTATTATGTTCACATTTCATGTGCATTGTGCAAAAACGAGAGAAGATTTAATCGCTAGTTGTCGAAAGTGAACATGTTTGAAGAGCAAAATGTCGAAAGCAAGATGTCGAAAATCCAACTCCTGTTTTGTCACAGTTCTCGCCTTCACTCTCACTTTTTATGCTGTGTGCATGCGTGTAGCATTATGATTTATTCATTCAAACTTTGAAAAAGTGTTGGATGTAGGATTTACAAGGTTTTTGTAATTTTCGACATTTTTGATTTTCGACGTTTTGCTTTCGACATTTGATAGCTTAATTGAGAAGAAATGTTAATAACGATAGTGATTTGGCTTAAATTGCCCTTCCTGACTGATTCCAAGATGAGCTCATTGCGCTTCAGTCATTTTTGCCAATTTGACATGAGGGGTGGCACTTTAACTTTACTTTAAAAGTTAAAGTTAAAGAAAAACACTAAACTCTAAACTTTAATTAAAGTAGAACACTTTAACACTTTAACTTTAGAAAATCCGACTTAAAGTGAAAAATAATTTTTAGCTCTTCATCATCAATCCTTTATGGGTTTTAACTGAAACTTTAAACTTAAAGTTAAAGTACCTTCACTCTAATTAAAGTTTAAAGTTTAAAGTGTTTTACTTTAACTTTAACATTTAAAGTTTAAAGTAAAACTTTAAACTTTAACAAAGTGTTTTCAAAGTTAAAGTGCCACCTCTATTTGACATCTACAGTATGTAAAATGATTATTCGAACACCCTGCGACAGCTATCTTGTAAAGCAAATTTCACAACGAAGAAAGAATATTTTCTGAAGTTTGTTTGATTATACCAATTGGAAGATCAAAGTCTCTAGTTTATTCTACGAGAAAAAAAACTCTTTTTTCAAAAAGGTTTTCACAAATTTTGGAAGGTTTTCCATAAACGATTTGATTTCCTATGCAAAAAATTATGCGGACACCTGTAGTTTTCCTTTCAAAGCGCCTTTGCTCTACATCAAAATATTTCGAATTATTTTTCATTCGATAGAAAAAAACAGTTTTCTACATGCGAATGTGCTTTAGAAACGAAAAAATATTGATAAAACCTCGAAAACTTCGAAATGTCTGAAGCCCCACAGGTTTTACAGAGAACCTAAGTTTTTCATGTTTAATAAAATGAATTCTCCACTCAAAATATATCATTCGATAGAAAAAAAACGGAATCCAACCATGTCGTGCATTTTCAAAATTAATTAAATAAAAAAGGCATTAATTGCTAATAACAATTGGTCTCCTATATAGGAGACCAATTGTAATTAGCAATTAATGCCTTTTTTATTTAATTAATTTTTAAAATG